GCAGTGAATGCCCCCTGAGTCAGCCTCCAGGTTCTGCCCCGGAGCCTCGTCCCTTCTCCCTCTACAAACGAGGACTGCTGTCTGCATAAAGCCAGCCCTGGTTTCTCTGCTAAGCTTCAGTCACACACCGCCATCTATCAGATGGCTATCCAGTAATCAGCTAAAATGCACCATGTCCGAAGCAGAACTTCTCTTTTCCTGTCTGCCAGTCCTCCCCTTTACTCCCGGGGACACTGACACGCTTTCATTCAGACCGGCCTTTTAGTCTTCCTTGGCTCCACCCCACCATGTGCAGTGCTCTCTCTCACGTCCATTCCCTTCTCTCCACTCACATGACCTCCCCTGGCCCAGGGCCTCACCCTCTCCACCTGGACTCCCTCAAACCTCCTTATCGGTCCCCCTGCCTCAGGGCTCTCTCCACTCAGCTGCCAGAGGGACGTGTCCACTGTAATTCCCCAGCTCAGGTTAAACTAGAGGGGTGCCCTATTGCTTTTAGGGTCAAGTACAAATTTCTCTTTTAGGCATTTAGAGTTTTTCATGACCTGGCTCCAGCCTCGTTACACAGTGCTTCCTTTCACATGCCCCGAAGCCCAGCCACCTTGGTCTTCTCTATTCCTCACACGTGACATTTCCTTGCCCTCAAGAAGCTCACATTCTATAGGGAAAGTGAACATTTGCCAAACAAGTATATAGAAAACAGACAAAATAAATGCAAGATAAATGTTCTCCCATTTCTCAGAGGCTGTTCCCCAGACCTGGATTGTACATTTTCCTTTTAGAATACAGAGTTAGAATACAGAGTGCCCATGGCACAGCCCTGGAGTCAGAAGGACCCGAGTTCAAATCCAGCCTCAGACACGTACTAGCTGTGTGACCCTGTGCAGGTCACTTCACCCCAGTTGCCTCAAAAAGAACATGTAGTTCATTTCAAAGTTGATCCTAAGTACCATCTCCCTACTTAATTCTATCCGAGGTGGCTCAGTGGATGGAGCACCAGCCTCAAGTGAGGAGAAACTGAGTTCAAATCTGGCTTTGCATACTTAATAGTTGTGTGGCCCTGGACAAGTCACTTAATTTCCCTGTTGCCTCAGTTTCCTTGTCTGTAAAATGGGGGTCATAATAGCATCTACCTCCCAGACTTTCCGTAGGGATCCATTGAGACACGTGTAAAGGGCTTAGCAAACCTTTAAATGCTGCCTAAATGCTGCCTGTCATTGTGATTAGGCCTTTCCTGATTCTTTCTGCAGCCCCAGATTGTCTCGTGTTTATTTTGTCTGTGTCTTCTCTACATTTGTTTTATATTTGTATGTGTTCCATTCCCCTAATAGAACGTCTGCTCCCTGAGGGCAAGGATGGCTCCATTTTTGTCTCTGTATCACCAGTCCCAGCTTTAGATCTCTGGTCCTACAATCCTAGCAGGGAAGAGGAATGGAACATGCATTTATTAAGCACCTACCACATGCTGGGCCCTGCTGAGCACTTCACAAATACTATCTCCTGTGATCCTCACAACCCTGGGATGTGGATGCTGTTATTATCCCCATTTTACAGAGGAGGAAACTGAGGCAGGCAGGGGTGAAGTGATTTGTCGGTAGTCACACAGCCGGTAAGTTGCTCAGGCTCTATTTGAACTCAGGCCTTGCTGACTCCAAGTCTCCAGCTTTATCCACGGCCGTCACTACCACCTTTAGGTCCTTTCCACTCGTTCTGTCCCTTTCCTCGTCATCCTCCTGTAATTGTAAGCACCATTTTGTATTAGAATTGTTTGTCTGTTATCATACAGTGGGACGGAATGCGCCTATCCTGCTGCGCCCAGTGAGGCGCAGCCAGGACCAGGCACAGCAGCCGTCCTCCCGGGACGCTCCAGGGACTCACTGTCGGGAATCTCTGAGTTGGCAAAGACTTCAGAGAAGTCTGAAGAAGACTCCCCCCAACATTCCCTACAGGTGGTCGGTCACGCAGCCCCTGCTTGGGGTGGGGGGGGGACATGCTTCCCTTCCCCTCGTCTGACTGTCATCCCGTCCTTAAGCCTAAATCTCCCTCCAGCCCACTCCTCCTGGTTCTGCTCCCCGGGGCCAAGCAGAGCGAGGCGGATCTCTCCCTACCCTGTGCCAGGGAGGGAAGCTTGTCACGTGGGCACAGGCAGAAGTAAGCTCCCCTCTCTCCCCCCATACACCCCACTCCTTGCAATCTCCAAGGGCATGCAGAGCAGAGACAGGGGAAGAACTCAGCCACGAGTGACCAGGCAGGCTTCAGGCTATGACTTCTCCCAGCTTTTCCCTCCGTCTGCCATTTAACCTAAGAGAACGTGTACTTTAGGGTGCCGGTGTCTTATGGGCTCATATTGTGCTTGTCAGATTTATGACTTACAGTATCAGCTCCCATTTCTATGGCGCTCTTTGAGGCGGAAGGCGTGGATGATATTATCCTCATTTCTCCAGAAAGGAAACTGACCCAGTGAGTCTGAGTGATTTTCCCAGGATGCTCAGTGAGTAAGTGGGAGGGTTTGGATTTGAACCCAGGGCTCCGAGTCGAAGCCTTACCCAAATGCCAGGAGGGTGTAGATGTGGCTGTTTTTGTTTGGAAGGCTCCTCTGTTCTTTCGGGCTCTTGAGTTTCAGTTTGAAGCTTTCCTTTGTTCCATTTCATAAAGGAGGAGATTGTGGGCCAGAATGGAAGTCTCTGCCGGCTCTCGGGCCCCTGCTCCTTCATGACTGTGACGAGGGGGGCTGTTTGGAGGGTCCTTATGAGCCCCGGGGCTTTGGCTGGCTCAAGGCCTTGAACTCCCTGGAAAGTCAGCTCATCACCGTTCCTGAGCAGGGCTGGGTTTCCAGGGCGGTGCTAACCTTCTCTGTTTGTGAGAGGGGCCCAGGCCTCCCGGTTGTATTGTGGTGACTTAACAAAGCCTTCCAAATCCCTGCGTGTTTTTGTGTGAAAGCCCCCTGAACGCATGGCTAAAGCCCCTGAAATCGGAGGCGCATCCTGGACAGCCGCCGGCCCCGCCTGGGCTGGGCAGCTCTTTCAGCAAGTGAACAAACAGATGAAATCTGCTGAATAGTTGGACAAGTGGCTTTCATTTACAAACGCTGGGCACCGTCGCTCCCCAGCCCTGCTTAGCCTGCTGCCCTCGAAATCACAATCCCTTTTCATCCCACCAGCCCCTTTCACCAGCCGGCTTCCGCCCTCTGAAGGCCAGTGAGCTGAAAAATGCATTTCAGGAGGAGGAGACCTTCCCCTTCTTCCCCTCCTGTTGTCTCCAGCCGCTGGGCTCCCTGTATCCCCAACCCCCACCCCTTTCTCCTCTCTGAATTGATTGCCCAGCTTAGCTCCATCTGAAGAGCTTAATGGAGAAACTGGCCTGTGTGAGCTGAGATTCTCAAGGTCAAAACTGACTTGATACAGTCCTCACAAGGAAATCCTTTTAGATTTGTGTAACAGTTCAGGAGCTGAGGGATGGATGGGAAATCTAGAACCCAAGAAAGAGTGGGGATGGATGCCAGGTCCCTTTAGGGATGACTTACGTCTCTAATAAACCTGGAATGAGAAGCAAAGTAGCAAAGTGGGTAGATCCTTGGGGCTTTGGGGCTTTGAACTGGGGGCTTTGAACATCTCTGAGGCTCACACCCTGAGGCCACACACAGTACTTGAGGAGAGCCCAGAGTCAGGATTCCCTTTTACTCTCCTGATTTTTGAGTGCAGAAAGACCTGAAAGTCATTAAGTATAAGATGGGCATCCCCACCATTTCCAGTTCTTTGCCACCCCAAAGAGAGCTGCTATAAATATTTTAGAACGTAGAGGTTATTTTCCTTTTTCCCTAATCATCTTGTGAAATAAACCAAGTAGTGGCGTTGCTGGATCAAAGGGTATAGTCAGTTTAATAACTCTTTGGGCATAATTCCAGATTAACTCTCCAAAATGGTTGGATCAGTTCACAGTTCCACCAACAGTGAATTAGTGTCCCAGTTTTCCCATATCCCCTCCAACATCTGTTGTTTTCCCCTTCAATTGTTTTAGCCAATTTGGTAGGTGTAAAATGATATCTCTAAGTTGCTTGAATTTGTATTTCTCTAATTAATAATGATTTGGATTTTTTCATATGACTATAAATTGTTTTGATTTCTGTTCAGATCCTTTGACCATTTATCAATTGGGGAATGACTCATATTCTTACAGATTTAACAAAATTCTTTATATATTTGAGATACAAGACCTTTATCTAAGACTCTGTCTATAAAAATTTTCCCCCAATTTTCTGCTTTCCTTCTGATCTTGGCTATATTTGTTTTATTTGTGCAAAACTGTTTTAATTTAATGTAATTGAAATTATCCACTTTACATCTCTCACTGCTTTCTATCCCTTCTTTATTCACAAATTATTCTCCTATCCAAAAGTCTGATAGGTAATTTATTACATGTTCTTCAGATTTTCTTGTAATATCACTCTTTATATCTAGGTCATGTATCCATTTTGACCTTATCTTGGGAAATGGTGTAAGATATTGATCTCTGACTGCTTTTGTTTTCCCAACAATTTTTTACCAAATAATTCATATCCCCCAAACTTAAGTCTTTACACTTGTATGAAGTGTATATAGGTATATAAGTGTAGACCTTCATTTATAGATGAGGAACAGAAGCCAAGAAAGGTGAAGCCACTTACTGAGGGTCTCCCAGGCAGTGGCTGGCATTTCAGGGATAGATCCAAGGGACCTCTGACTCCAAATGCAAAATAGCCCCAGACGTTAACAGCTGTCATTTACACAATGCCTTAAGGTTTGCAAAGCACTTTACAAATAGGATCTCATTTTATCTTCACTACATCCCTGGAAAATATTTTCCATTTCAACCCATTTTACAGTCAGGGAAACTGAGTTAGAGCTTAAAGTGACTTGCTCAGGATCACACTGATAGTAAGTGTCTGAGAATGGATTCGAACTCAGGTCTTCCTGACTCCAGGTAGCAAATAAGTGATTTTCTTTCTCTCTTCTGTTCATTTGCAGATCACAGCAGTCTGTTCAGAAGCAGGCCTCCTTGCTCTAGAAGAAGATATACAAGCCAAATATATCATGAAAAGGCACTTCGCAGAGGCCCTGAACATCGTGACCCCAAGAATTCCGGAGTCCATGAGGCATTTTTACGCAGATTATCATAAGAATGGACTGCACACATGCTGAGAATATAATAGCCCTAACGTAGTCTATTCAGACGCTTTTTTGAAAGAAAAGTGAATTTCCTATGTGCAGCGTGGCTTGAGGTGGCCAGAATGTTCCTTCTTGCAAATGGAATGTCTGAAATCCACTTGGGTAGAATTGAGAGGCTGCTGACCCTCCAATAAAGCGGAGAGAAAAGGTTTGGGTCGTGTGAGTTCAATGGAAAGAGCCGGGGACTGGGTTTTACAGTGAATTGTTGTGATCTGTGTTTTGTTCAAGTCTTCTGTGCCAGTCAGATCTTAATCTAGAAATGCTTGCCAATGTTTTCACAGATGCATTGGCGACGCGGCAGTTTGTGAACCTTGTCTTCTCCTTCCCCTACCCCTTGAGCTGGGAATTCTTCTTCTTCCCTTCTAATACAAGGGAAGAACTAAGTTCAAAGCTCACCTTTGCCACTTATTTGCTGTGTGACCCTGGGCAAGCCAATTGATCTCCTGAGCCTCAGATTTCCCGTCTGTAAATTGGTTTGGATAAATGGCCTGCCCTTCCTGATCCTTATCTCCTCCTTGGAGAGCCCGTCACTTCCTGGAAAGCAGCGCTCAAGGGCTACCATCCTACATCCCCTTTCTTAAGCTTCCCATTTTGAGCCCTCTCTAATTCTTGAAATGTCTTTATATTTCATCATGTATACTTTATATTCACTTCTCAGTGTATCAGTAGACTGAAAGCCTGTTGAGGACAAGAGCTTTTGTTTTTTGTTTTCCATCCCTAGCCCAGTGCCTTGGATATTATAAATGCATAGATATAGATATATATTATAAATGCCAAGATATGCATGTATATACATAGGTGTGTGCATTTATGTATGTAAATGCATGTATACACATCTAAATCTGCGTATATACATATACAGACGTGTGTGTGTGTGTGTGTGAGACAGAGAGAGAGAGAGAGAGAGAGAGCTAGGTGGCCCTCAGTGGATAGAGCACTGGCCTTGGAGTCAGGAAGACTCCTCTTCCTACTTCAAATCTACACTTGACTAGCTGTGTGACCCTGGGCAAGTCACTTAACTTTGCCTGAGTTTCCTCATTTGTAAAAGGAGTTGGAGAAGGAAATGGCAAACTACTCCACTGTTTTTGCCAAGAAAACCCCAAATGGGGTCATGAAGAGTCAGACACGACTGAAATGACTGAATAACAATAACCATTTGTTGAATTGAATTAAATTAAATGGTATTCACACCGAGGAAAGCATCAGTATCATGGGAGTTTCATGAATGGTATGCTAAAAAATGCTTCCAGATCTGTGATTTATGATGTCCAGAGAAGATGCCAGACAGGCTCGCCAAGAATGCAGTGTCCTTTGGCCAAAGATGTATTTGTCCAGATTACAGCCAACATTTCCAATCAGCCTTCACCATCTTGACCGGTGCTTAGAGCAAAGAAACACAAGAGGCTTGGTTTCACTGGCACATATGGCTCCCTTTCAGTGTGTACAAAATGGGATGATCAGACCTTTTGCCTTGTGGCCCTTCTTTGGGCAGTCTTATTGGATAAATCGGGTACCATCGGTAAGTGCTATCTATGATTTCCGTGGTGAACTTTTTTTAGTTCAAGGATATTGCTATACAATGTAATCATGCCCGATCTCTTTAATATGAGCCCTTCCCTCATCACTTACCTTCATGGTGAGTAACCACACTGGATACAGGTGTGGAAACCAAAGCTCTTTGTTTCCTTCCAAGTTCAAAGCCAGCAGCCTAGAGTCAGTCTCAGTGACTCTTTATAAATTCCCATAAGGATCATTTCTGGGAGGGGGAGGAAACAGGGGTATGCTAGGAAAAAAAATTAATTCCCAGAAAAAAAAAAAGTTGACCCAGAAATACCTAATTACGGGCTGAACTTGTTAAGTTTGGTTTGGCAGGTAAGACAATATGGGTGTATTTCTTAAATGTTTCCACCTTTGCTTGCCTCTCAGAAAAGTTTTGAAATTATGTTTCCGGGCCCACTCTTAAATGTATCAGGGGAGTGCCTGAGATTTATTGGCATTTGGGTAAATGAAGCTTCCAAAATAATCCTCATTTTAAAATTAGAGTGGATTTTTTTAAACACTTCCCTTTTGGAGAATTGATGAAGAAAATTGTGGGAAGGGTGGCATTTGAAAGCTGACTTTGGGGACATTACAAGGGCTGACATGAACCATCCTTCTTTTTCATCTTAGTGAGTACTGCCAAGCCCACATTATGTATGTATCCCAAAGGGCCAGGAGTGCTTACGTTCCCAAGCTCCTTCCCTAAGCGTCAGAAGCCAGGAGGAATGCTAGAATTGGTCGTGGGGGGGGGCCATGGGGAAGAGAAGTTTCTATAGGAGGATTTTTTTTTTAAGCCTCAAGAAATTGATTTTGGGGGGAAGGTTTGAAGCTGGGGAGATGTGCCTTTATAAGTGGACGGATTCAGGAATTTGTAGGCCAGTATTTCTGAATCCTCAGGGGTTTAATCCAAAAGATTTATTTCTGACTGAGAATAACCAGACTTTGGGAGTATTTTGGCCTATTTCTAGTGCGCAGAAAGCACAGATTTAGACTTTGAAGGGACTGTTGAGGAAAACTCCATTATTTTATAGATGTGGAAACTGAGGCCCACAGAGATTAAAGTGACTTTCCAAAGTCACGCAAATAGTGAGGAGCAGAGCCAGGATTTGGACTCAGCCTGGTACAGAGAAAAAGGGAATGGATTTAGGGCTGAAATAACTGGGTTTGAATTCCAACTCTGCCCCCTTACTCTCTGTGCAGCTTTGAGCAAGCCCCTTATCCTTCCTGGGCCTCATTTTTTCTCATTTATAAAATGAAGCCCTTGGTCTAGAAGACTCTGAGATCCTTCCCAGCCGAGCCATGAGTCTGTTATGCTCAGACCCCACACCAGGGGCTCTTCCCATGACCCCATGCTGTACGCGTTTCTCTAGATTGATCTGGAGCTATCTAATGTTATCGCTATGGGTGGTGCAGCATCTCCTTCTCTAACTATCTATTAAAATAGTGCAATGTGCTCTTGGGTGGTTTGAGGTTGTCTTGGGTGGAAGTCACCTTTGGGTCAATATTGTGTGATATGTAGGAACTGACTTGCTGTAGGGCCATGGGCAAGCCCACAAAAGAGGCAGATGGCATCAATGAAAATTCACTCCAGGGATATTCCATTTTCAGTCCTGAACTCCCCTGGGTATGGATTTACCCTAAGCGACTTCCCGATAAGAAGACCGACCACACAACAAATCCTAGAGGAACCCAGTAATCCCAAGTATGATCCCAGCAAATGCCCAAGTAGGAAACATGAGTCGGCAACGGTCAATGTGTTAGCCCTTCTGTCCACTCCTGGACCACACAAGAAGCCAGCCTGGGGTCACTTGGTGAAAGTCAGCATGAACTCCAGTAAATGGGCCTGAAGCCGTGGGCACACTAAATGTGGACATGCCATTGAGATCCGATGACAGTACCAGTTCTGGCAATTGGGTTTGAAATCAATGGGATCTTGCCCTTGGCCTGTCAGGACAGAAGGAAGCAGAGGACAGAGCCAGGCCCTGCTCACTACAGGGAGACCGTGCCTGGCTGGGTGCTTCTGAGTACTGGGAGCCGCAGCAAGAAATAAGAAACTCAGCACCGGATCACCCGTGCCAGGGACCATGCCAGGGGCCAAGACCAACACCAGCCCCAACATCCAAATGGAGCTTTGGACGGGCCACACCAGGGATTGGGACCAACTTGGAATTTGGGATTTTGTGAGGAAAAAGAAACAGAGATGGACAAAAGCCAGCACCAGCACCCTAGATTAAATAGAGTCAGAACCCAAGGATTCAGGAAGAAGGAGCAGCAGCGTCCATACTATATAGAGGGGCAGGATCAAACAGCTGCAGTGGATGGAGCCTGGCCCTTTCACAAAGCCCCAAGCCAGGGACGGAGGCAGGAAATGAGAGTAACAGAAGTAAACACCTAATGGGGTCATGAAATATGGCAGGTTATGAGAAGGTGAGGAAGAGAGAATTCTGCAAGGGCAGGTGGGGCATGGCTTAGCCATAAGAACTAAAATACATGGAGCCAGAGATGTTAAAAAATGAGCTTAGAATTCTGGAGGAAAAAACAGAAAAGAGACTTTTTGTTCACATACATACACACACACACACTCACACTCTCTCTCTCTCTCTCTCTCTCTCTCTCTCTTATTCACTCATGTGGACACCTGCTGCCCTTCCAGGGGCAAGGCAAAAGTAGAAAAGCAGCAGGAAAGCCTGTTAGCTCCTGTGGTGTTCCATCAGGGGCAGGTCAGAAGCCCAAGAAAGGCCCAGCTTAGAACTGACAATGGAAAATATTAATCATACGGTGGAGAACCTGAAAAATAGAATGGAACCATCAGATCTCAATGGCCCCCATGGGTGTGGCAGGAGCAGTGTCCTGACCCCCTGTGCCTGTCAGGTTAGAGGTATTGAGATCTTCCTGGAGACTTCATTGGTTCAAAGGACTAAAGGCTTGGGCCATCAATGTCCCTTCCTCTTTGCCAAGTACCAGAGCCAGGAGGAGCTTCAGGGGCGCTGCTCCTAGGTTGCTGGTTCATGATGGATGACTCAGGCAAGGCGGGTTAGCCTAGCTGAATCAACTTGAGGTATCTTCAGTGCCTGTCCTTGTTACATATTCTCCCGCTATGGTTAAGTAAATCTCTTTTTCTCAACTGCTGAATGGCCAAGTATTTCATTTTGTTCCAGTATCAAACCTAAACTACAAAGGGACTGACCTAAGTCAGGCCCAGCTAGGAACTCATGAGACAACAAGAAATATTGGGACAAAGTCAAAAGATTGAAAAAATAGAAAAGAAATGTGAGTTATCAACTAATCTGGAAAACAAGTCAAGGAGAAAGAATTTTAGAATTACCAGAATCCTGGAAAAATGTCACCAAATGAAAACTCAGAACTCTACATTCCATGTTTTAAGAAATCATAAAAGAAAACTGCCTGGATCTATTTCAGCCAAAGGACAAAGTGAAAAAAAGAATCCAGCAATCATTTCCTGAAAGAAACCCCCAAATGAAGTCACCTAAGATTATCATTGCTAAGATAAAAAGCTTTCAAATAAAACAAATCTCTCTCTCTCTCTCTCTCTCATGTATGTATACATACATATATACATATATGTGTGTATGTATTTATATGTATGTGTGT